GGATGAGGACGGGGGGCTCACGAGGGCGGCGCGTGGCGGGCGGGGGGGCTGCGCACGTGAGCAGGGCGTGGGGACCCGCGACGGCCTGGGGACTGCGTTTCCTTTTTTTTCTCCCGTATACGGCGGCGGACTCTTTTTTTCTCAGCCTCCCGTTTTGTTTTGCGTTTTCCCAGACGCGGTGACGGGAAAACGGGAGGGGTGTCTGTGGGCCGTTGCTGTCTGTCAGCACGCCTAGGCGCCACCACGAAACTTCTGGAAACGCCCCGGCCCGGGGGGTACGCAGGAACGGCCGTTGGTGTGGGGCACAGTGGCTTTTCTGTGGGTGGGGTGGGGTAGGTTTTGTGCTGGGGGCAGAACTGTCAGATCCTGTGCTGGATTGATATGTTTGGAAGAAAAAACAAATTCGGTGGGGAAGTGGAGGGACCTTTTGTGCCGGGGCAAAACTACGGGAAAAACGAATTCAGCTATAAACAAAAGGCATGTTTTAATTCTTTTAGAATTCTTGAAAACTTTCAATTGTTGTTTTCACTTAAGCTGGTTTCCACCGGATAATCTCTTCTCTAGGGCTATGAGATTTTTTCAGTAGCTCATCTCTTTATAAAATAAATAAATATGTTCAACACATAGACATTGGTGTTTGTGTGTGGGCATCAACAGGTCTCCGTGATAGTTTCTCTCCGGATCCGATGGTTCACTTCGACCGTGAGATGCAAATTATGAATGATGGTTTGACATTAAGGAATGGCCGTGCTTCCGCCTTTGTTTTTGTCTTTAGGGCTTGTTGAGTTGTGCCCTCAACAGAACCCTGTCTTACTTTCTGTTGTGACTTCGATGGTAATGGTACTCAAGCATCCGGCCTTGAGCTCCGGGATGAAATCCTAGATCTGGCCAGAATTGGTACCAAGCAATGACGATGATTTGACATCATTACTTTGTTGAAGGCACTACTCGGATATGTTCGGAATGGTTTTTCAGGGTAAAAACCTAGATTCTAGCCTTGCGTGGTTGGATTCAGTGACGGCGGCCGTTGAGGGTCGCTCCATTCTTGAAGGTGTTGTTATTTCAAGAACCTCATCGTCCATGTGTGTCATGAGTTGGTTGGTGTGAATACAGTCATTGTTGCAGTTTGCCGATCGCAGATCTGATTGCTTTGTTTTTTTTCTCGTTTATGCATAACTTTGGTCTTATATGAATTTGGCATTGCCGGCGTTTTTGTGTGCGTGCATTGGTGTTGGCTGCGTGCATCCTAACAATGCAAAGGCCGGATGTGTGCTTGTTGTGTTTATATCTTCTTGATGCTTCATTTTGAGTCAATAAAATTCACCATTTGTCGGAAAAAACACCCCCTCTGCCCAGGGCGCAAACATGTTTTTCTCCTGCGTGAAAATTTACAAAAACACAAAGGACCTTAGAAAATTTACACATGTAAATTCTTTCAGAAAATTGTTACCATATATTTTACAAATTTAATGTTAACCTTGGAAATATGTGCTCTTGATCGGACATGACATTTCTGCAGTTGGGTGCATATGCACCCCGGGTGAATAGTAGCATCTGGAAAAAATAGGAAGACAAACATTGTTGAATGTGTTGCCAACACGCAAAAACTCATGGTGAAAAAACATTCGTGGAGGCCCGGGCAAAAAAAAGAACAATGTTCCAAAATAGGGCAAATTTTTAAAGCACTTTGGAACATTGATTTTTTTTTTAACTCTAACAAATGTTTTCCAGTCATGTAACTTTGCATGTTAGCAAAACATTTAAC